TCATCCTATTTCGACTCTTTAAAATTCAGGAGTCTATCCTAAATTGAAGAAAATTATATGGCCTTCCAAATACCGTTTCGATCCCTAACATCACTGAAGAGACATTAATTGTCGAAATCCGGATATGGTGTACAAATTTGTATAAACGTATAAAAATGTCGGTTTTTATCCAACGCAATCATAGGTTTGAACGTTGTTTTCAATTTAGACTAGTTTATATATATATATATATTGGCCATACATCTACAAAAATTGTACTCTGTTGTTCCTATGTCTCATTTTCTGCTCACTCTGGCTAAGTCCCCAACATCTTTCTTTTCTAAGTATAAAGCAGCATCTCTAAGGTAAAGTAAGGGGACACTTTATACATAGTCAAGCGGCTAAGTCCTGTCTTTTCTGGTCTCTATTTTTTTTTCTGAGTCTAGAGTACCTTGTAAGCCCCCACTGGAATGCCACCAAGCTACAACTCTCTCTTTTTCCCTTGCTGGCTGAAAACGATGTACCGGTTTTGTTCATTGTTGATGTCTGTACAGTGACTTAAAACTACTTACAGCCACATTATTTGAACTCTGGTGGATAGTTGTCTCATTGGCAATCATACCACATCTCCTTATTTAACTATGGGTTATTTGAAGTAGATCATCTGATGACTAACACACATTCAATCATTTGAAAAAAATTAATTCTGCAATGATTTACATGTTGCCATTTTGAGATTTCAATTTATATACATTAATCAATATGTATCAACAATAAAATTTGGTTGTATAAATGGTGTCATTATGTTTGTAATTGTCCACAGTTTTGTGTCAACACAATTCATTTAAGTTCCCTAATTTAAAGGATTGATGAAGTGATTCCAGTTTGATATTTTGGGCCACTAACAATGTACTGTAAATTCAAAAATTATTAATGGTTTCTATTAATGTGAATAATAACTTATTGCAATGATACAAACTCGCATTCTGATATCTGATACATGTACATGTATATCTGTATGCAACTTTTTCTGAAATGGTAATAATCTATTTTTGTTGTGGACCTAAAATAAAGATTTTTGGTGAAAGTAATTTCAACCACATTTAGGCCTAGGAAATGAAGAGTGCAGAGTTTGACAAACTAAATACTTTAAATTCAGAAATTATTGTGAGGTTTTTATTAATGCAAATAATGCAACTTAGTGATTATCGCAATAATAAGAACTCATATTCTGATATCTAATACTATGCAGATTTTCCTGAAATTGCAATCATTAAACCTCGCATTTTTGTCCTTTCTTCAAAAATCCCAATAACAAATGCACCCAATAATTTCTGAATTTACTGTATTCAAGTCATTTAAGGACATAAGATAGTTACAGGAGACGTTGCTAACGTATTATGTTATTTTTCGCGACGTCAAACTGCGACATATCGCAAAAAGATGCATTTTTCAAGGGATTTTAATCATTACCTTGAAAACAAGTACATGGACCCCTTTTCTTTTAAATGACAAATGATTAGAAAATCATAAGTTCTGTATGAAGATTATTTGTTCCAATTTTTATGAAAAAATCACCGATGAATTTTTTTTTAATTAGATAAATATTCAGCAAAAATGCAGTTTTTTACTATAATCATGAAGTTTTAATAAAAATTACTTTCAAAGAATTATTACACAAATTAAGAGCAAACTTTTCTAAAGAAAATATTCCAAAACGTTTTACAAAAATCGAATGTGTTTATCTTTTGTAACAAAAAATTTAAGTATGTCTGTCTAAAGGATAGAAAAACCAAGAAACAGAAATTTTAAGTAAATGTCTAAATTTTCAACCCCATTTATCTCAAAATTTAGCACATGAAGGTCTATTTTTTATTACATATTTGAATTAACTAAGTGAAAAATAGCTTGTATGCAAATTTTCGTAAAATAAATAGAAAATGTGTCTACAGACTTGTAAATATGCACAAGTCAACTTCCACATACAGATGCAGGACTCACATTATTAAGACCGTTTTTTGTGATTATAAGCATTGTGTATAAGTTTCATAACATTTGGTTGAGGCAAACTAAAGTTAGAGAATGGAAACAACAGATTTAGCAATTTTTCCATTTATATAGGGGCATAACTCAAGAAAGGTAAAAGTGACGCCACCCAATTTCAAACTTGATCTGTGTTTTGTGGTAATAAGCATTGTGTATAAGTTTTATAATATTTGGTTGAGGCAAACAAAAGTTAGAGAATGGAAACAAAAAATTTAGCAATTTTTATGTTTATAAAGGGCCATAACTCATGAAAGGTAAAATATCAAATCAATATCTTCAAGCATGACGAAAAAAGTGTGGAAAACTGATTATTTGCTTGAATTTTCTAAGTCCTAGGACCATAAATCTGCAAAAAAATCATCCAAACCTAACAAAATTTGAACTTGATCTGTAACTTGTCATGGTAAAACTTTATACCATATATATCAAATCAATAGATCTTCAAGCATAACCAAATGAAAGTGCGGAAAACTGATTATTTGTGTAAATTTTCGAAGTCCAAGGACCATAACTCTGCACACAATCATCAGACCCGAACAAAATTCGAACTTGATATGTAACTTGTCATGGTCGAACTATATACCAAACATCAAATCAATATCTTCAAGCATGAAGAAAAAGAGTGCAGAAAACTAATTACTTGTGTAAATTTTGAAGTGCAAGGACCATTACTCTGCACAAAATCATCAGACTGAAATAAAATTCAAATTTGATCTGTAACTGGTCATTATAAAACTATATACCAAATATCAAATCAATATCTTCAAGCAAAAAGCAAGTGTGGAAAACTGATTTGCTGGACTGACTGACGGATGGACAGACAGACAGATGGACGGAGTGCAAACCTATAGTCCCTTCAACTTTGTCGGTTGGGGACTAATAAAGGACTCTTTCCATTTGTTGAAACTCAGCGTTTATTTGTAGCACTTTTGAATTCAAATTGAAGAAAAAAATTTACCAACTTCTATCGACAGAAATAATGTGAACTGTATGATATCATATTGCATTTCAGCTTTTTGTTCAGTTTTCTTTGCATTGTTATGCTCCCTCCGTAGAGGATGGGGGCATTAAGTGTTACCTTTGAGCGACTGTCTTTCCTTCCGTCTGTCCATCCGTTTTCATTGCAAATCTTGAGCGGGGGCATTCAGGTCCTCAGACACATTCTTCTTTTATTTATGTTTTAAATTCATTTCTGGATTTGGATTTTTTAATTTTATTTATAGCCAGCAGCAAAACTTGTACATCTTATATAGTTTCTAATCTTAAAGCATGCGCAGGATAAGGTATAATAAAAATGTTAATATTCTGTCCACTGCAAATAATCTTTTATCCAATCAATATCAATATCAGTGTTCACAATTTTGAATATAAAAATAAGATGTGGTATAATTGCCAATGAGACAACTCTCCACAAGAGACCAAATGACATAGAAGTTAACAACTATAGGTCACCGTACGGCCTTCGACAATGAGCAAAACCCATACTGCATAGTCAGCTATAAAAGGCCCCAAAATGACAAATGTAAAACAATTCAATGAGAAAACTAACGGCCTGATTTATGTAAAACAACAATGAACGAAATACAAATATGATATATAGCAACAAACGACAACCACTGAATTACAGGCACATACAGAATGTGGCGGGGTTAAACATGTTAGCGTGCGCCCAACCCTCCCCTTAACCTGGGAAAGCAGTGAATCAGTACAACATAAGAACAAATTATAATAAAGAGCTGCGCCATGAGCACATGATACGCCAGTCGCTTTTTCAAAGAATAAAGTTTCATAACTCCTCAATGTCATATCAGAAAACTAAAGGGAGGTTATTTTAATAGATATACTCCGAAACGTAAACTCTAAAATTTATGAAAATCAAAAGGGAGCTTACGTCATGTACGTCAATAGATATAAACAATTCACCAAAGTTTCATGAAAACTGCTTATACTTAAAAGCATTTTTGAGTTATTGTCTGAAAACTAGAAAATTCCTCTTTTTTAATGAATAAAACCCCATAACTCGTGAACGTAAATTCTAAATTTATAAAAATCGAAAGGGAGCTCATGTCAATAGATATAAACAATTCACAAAAGTTTCATACAAATTGGTTAAAGCGTTTTTGAGTTATTGTCCAACATGTTGACGACTGACGGACAGAGGTATACCATAATATGTCCCGTAAACGGGCGCATAAAAATCAATTTATAATGGCTTTTGAACTCATCAGATCACAAGAACACAGACAGGACTTGGCAGGGTATTTATAACTTCCTACAACAAAACAGACATTAAGTACATATCTGAGAGTACTCAAAGTTACTGACAGCTAGTTCAAAGCCAATAACAACAAACTAGAGGCTCTAAAGAGCCTGTGTCACTCACCTTGGTCTATGTGCATATTCAACAAAGGACACTCTCCAACATTGTAGACAAAAATAGAATTCATGACAAAAATCTCTCTTTTGTTGATCTTGTATTGCTGATCATTTAGTCTGTTTAATTTCTCTCAATCTTCTTTAGTTTTTGCTCAAAACACAAAAGAGAGTAAAAAAAATCCTCATTTGTTGCTAAGTCTTAAGGGATTAAAATCGGGATAAGACAACAAAAAAATGTCCGGCTGGCTCAAATATTTTTTGGAAGCATTATTAGATACTGTATGAAGATTATTTGTTCCAATTTTTATGAAAAAATCACTGATGAATTTTTTTTTAATTAGATAAATATGCAGCAAAAAATGCTGTTTTTTACTTTAATCATGAAGTTTTAATTATAATAAAGATGAATTAATTTCAAAGAATTATTACACAAATTAAGCCGTATATGCGAACTTTGACAAAACCACAAAATCAAATATCCACGAAAATAAGTACACAGGAAAATAAATGAATCCACAGTATATACATGTACATTGACTGAAATATTTTCTAATATTGATCAGAATGTATTCATTTCATACGAATTTAATTAAACGTACCATTGACCTTTTTAAACATGCTATACATGTTTTCTAAATAGTCATGGTCCAAAAACCACACGGATCTGTCTTTGTCATCTTCATCAAATGGAACTGTAAAATAAGAAATTTAATACAAACAATAACATAACACATATTTTATTTGTAAATAAATTATTCAATAAAATGCTTCGCTGAGCACAACCTGATACGACCGTAGAGGTCGAACCTTGAACAGTTGGGGCAAGTTTGGACACAATATTCAAGCTTGATACTGTCTGAATTTGGATTGTGATCAAATTTTTGACATAATATAGGTTTCTGACACAAAATAAATGTGGTCAAAGAGCTTAAAAATTTGAAATAGGACATTTAATTTACCTAGAATGGTCTGATATCCAAAATTTAACAACATGGTTAGATTCAGCATATAAAAAACACCAAAAATTTAATTTTAGTTGAAATCATACAAAGTTTAATTTTAGACCCTTCAAACCTTAATATGGACTTATTTGAAAACAGGGCCCAAAATAAAAAATCTAAATGCACAATAAGATTCAACATATCGTACACCCGCATTAATTCAGTTTTTGATGAAATCAAACAAAGTTTAATTTGGGACCCTTTTGACCTCAATGTAGACCAATTTAAAAATGGGGCCCAATATCCAAAATAGTTATAATACAAGGTTAGAACCCCCAAAAATTAAAGACTTTAAATTAATCCCATTGAAATTGGTTAAAAGATTTGTATTTATTTTAAATTGAAGATTTCTTGCTATTGCGCAATACTGTTCAATTAAAGATTTCTATCTATTGTGCAATACTGTGCTCTTGCTCATTATTGTGATATTGCGCAATACTGTGCTATTGCGAAATAATGTGCTATTGTGCAATACTGTGCTATTGTGCAATACTGTGCAATTAAAGGTTTCTTGCTATTGGGCAATACTGTGCAATTGAAGATTTCTTACTATTGCGCAATACTGTGTAATTGAAGATTTCTTGCTATTGCGCAATACTGTGCTATTGTGCAATTGAAGATTTCTTGCTATTGCGCAATACTGTGCAATTGAAGATTTCTTGCTATTGCGCAATACTGCACAACTGAAGATTTCTTGCTATTGCGCAATACTGTGCAAGTGAAGATTTCTTGCTATTGCGCAATACTATGCAATTAAAGATTTCTTGCTATTGGGCAATACTGTGCAATTGAAGATTTCTTGTTATTGTGCAATACTGTTAATCTGTTATATATAATAATTTACACACGCTGTTTGGTGTGTATCTCCTGCCATATCAGTATTTGTTGCTCTATATATAAATCAGAAATAATCAATGTAAAAATGGAAAATTTTTAGAAAAAAAAAAAAAAAATATGAAAAAATTCCATTCCCCCCCCCCCCCCCCCCCCCCCCCCCACCAGAAAAGTTTTGAAAAAAAGTTGAAATTTGAAAAAATCTTGAAGAAAAAAAATATGAAACCTCCAAAAAAATTTGAAAAAAATCTCCTCCAAACTTTTTTACCCCTCCCCCTTGGAGTAATTACCACCAAACTCAATCCCAGCCTTCCCTTTGTGGTAGGGAACCTTGGATTACAAATTCAGAGAGATCCATACACAAGTTATTGTCTGGAAACTAGAAAAATGCTTGTTTCTGGCCCCTTTTTTGCCCCTAATTCCTGAACATTTGGGGCAATTACCCCCAAACTCATTCCAAGCCTTCCCATTGTGATTTGGAACCTCGTGGTACAATTCCAGAGAGATCCATACACTTACACAAGTTATTGTCCTGAAACTACAATAAATTGCTTCGCCGAGCGCAGCTGGATACGACCGAAGAGGTCCAACCCTGAACAGTTGGGACAAAAATGGACACAATATTCGCGCTTGATACAGGTCTGAATTTGGATTGTAATTAAATATTTGATACATAATAGGTTTCTGACACAAAATAACTGTAGTCAAAGAACTTAGAATTGGTTATATGATTTGAATTTATATTCAATTTTTTGCTTTTGTGCAATACACTATGCTGTTGCTAATTGACCCCCCCCCCAAAAAAAAAAGATTTACCCTCCCTTTTTTTGGCTTTTGTGCAATACACTATGCTGTTGGGAATTGACCCCCCCCCCCCAAAAAAAATATTTGAAGAAATTTTCTTTTAAATTTCTGAAATCTGAAATGAGAAAAAATTGTCCCCCCCATCAATTTTTTTTTCACCTCCCCCCTTTTTCCAAAAAAAAAATTCTTTCCCTCAAGATATGGTCATAATCTCAATTCAAATTTCCAATGGAGTTTGCAACCATAGTTACCCATTTAAATACGTCATAAAAGTCTTAAAATAGATAAATGGAGAATGATGCCCCCGCTTGCATACAACATTATAAAGGGACATAACTCAAGAACAATAAAAGTGACGCTACCCAAATTTGTACTTGATCTGAGTATTTTGGTAATAAGTATTGTGTATAGGTCTCATAATGTTTTGTTGGGACAAACTTAAGTTTCGGAACGGAAACTAAACATTTTGCAATTTTTCGATTTTTAAAGGGGCATAACTCGATGATTAAAGTGACGCCACCAAAATTCAACTTGATCTGTATTTTGTGGTAAAAAGCATTGTGTATAAGTTTCATAACATTTGATTGAGGCAAACTAAAGTTACAAAATGGAAACCAACTTTGGGACATACTGACGTACTCAAATTTGTACTAGATCTGAGTTTTGTGGTAATAAGTGTTGTGTATAGGTTTCATAATGTTTGATTGGGGCAAACTTAAGTTACAGAATGGAAACTAAAAATTTTGCAATTTTTCGATTTATAAAGGGGCATAACTCGATAATGGTTAAAGTGACGTCACCAAAATTCAAACTTGATCTGTATTGTGTGGTAATAAGCATTGTGTATATAAGTTTCATAACATTTGGTTGAGGCAAACTTTAGTTAGAGAACGGAAACAAAAAAATTTGGAATTCTTCCATTACTAAAGGGGCATAACTCTAGAACGGTTAAAGTGACGCCACCAAAATTCAAACTTGATCTGTAATTTATGGTAATATTAGCATTGTGTATAAGTTTCATAACATTTGGTTTAGGCAAACTCAAGTTAGAGAACGGAAACCAATTTTGGGACGTACGGACGTACAGACGGACAAGGGTAAAACTTAATGCCCCCTCCGCTACGGCGGGGGCATAAAAATATTCCAATAAATGTAAATTTAATATTCATATATTCGTCAAAGGCCAACTTCTTTACCATCGACCTTTTATATTAATTATTAAATTCATAAACATTTATGAATGACACTGAATTTCTATATATCTTTATTTTTATTCCTTATAAATATTTTTATATTGGGGACAGATCGACTAGTGCCGGATCAACTTGGGGCCGGATCGACATGAAAGCGTTCCAATCAGCTAGTTTGATGTTTTGATATTATTGCTCATTAAATTACGTTATGCACAGGCCTACAGAAGCTTCAAGGGTAAATTATATTTAAACATAAAACGGTACCTGATCCCAAAATGGACTACAGACAGTAGTTTTCCGACCCGGCAAGAAACATCTCTGTTGGAAATTATTGGGCGTCATATGTTTCTGTGCCTGGTACTATGTATTTTACTTTTAATTTATTTGATGAAAGAATCAAAACGCAATATTACCTGCAAAACTATTGGAGACATCGAGGACACCTTGCCGGTTTGCCCCAAGAAGGACTCCGACAACTCTTTTCATATTCCCAACCTTTCCCATTCTATTAAAATGATCTACCACACTCAAAAGAACGAGTGGATGAACCACAACTTTAGAAATTTTAGAAGGGTCTGTTGGTAGCATGTTCACTGTAGTTTTTGTAGTGTAGAAGATAGCACTATCACAAAAAAAATTTACTGAATCATGCTCAAATATTCAACTTCCGGTTTTGTCGGAAGCGCTGCTGTTTAACCCGGCCTTATACAAACTCGGCCTATAAGTCAGTCGGAGCTAACAGAACTCGGCGAGGATTTTGTTGGTCCCTGCTGATAAAGCTGCCAATAATATCATTAATGTTTGCCATTAATTTTGTATTGAAGTTCTGCAAAAGGAAATCACAAATCCTGGGACTATTATACGAATCCGGGTCTGTTCGCTCCCATTCGCGTTCGTCCCCTTGAATGTTCGCTCCCCACACGTTCGCACCCTGGGTCTGTTCGCACCCTTTTTATTGGTTTTGGTGTGGAATAAATATTTAATCGTGTTTAAGTTAGTGTATTGCTATAAATAAGTTTTTTTTATTTTTTTAAAATAAAGTGACATTATAAAAACGTAATTACAGGTTTCCTTTAGTGTTTTCAAGGATTTGTTTAGGATTACTATACAAATCCTTTGTGTTTTATTGATTATTTAGACGAAATTAATCATGATGGTTGGGACTGTTATACAATATATTGTGTCCCAGTGATGACTTTAATATTTGCATATTCCGAAGGCATACTGAATATTTTACGGAGGGAACCAACCTATAGCCTATTATACTAACGGGATTAGAATCTCGTAGGGTTTTCCTTATGATATGACCTAATTACAGGACTACACGAGATTTTACGAGACTTGCGATATATTATGTCACAGTTCTAACTGACTCAATTTTTGGAAAATGACATCGTTTACAAACATAAACATTTCGCTATCTCTTTACAAGCAAAACCGAATAACATGAAAGTTCCAACTATGTACTGGCTTCGGAAGCTGCATATGTATATGTCACATGGGCCTACTTCGATTCGTCCAACTCGGGTTAGTAGAGTCTGTCGAGTTTACTCGACTGACAATCGAACCCCCCGAGTTTGACCTTATGAACCTACCCGAGTTAACTCGACATCAATCCTGGGTTGGGGCAGGTTTAGTAGAGTTTCAAAATGGCGTCTCAAGCAGCTCCAGCAAAGAAAAGTATGATACAAAGACTACTTGAAAATTTTACAAAATACAGCCAGAGAAAGGGGCTGTTAGTGAAATTATTTTTTGTTTTTTTTTTGGGAATCGAATAAATATTTTTCGTGTGTAAATACTGTCGGTGATGTTTATAAATAGAGCAGAGAAAAAAGATATTTTCGTGAATTTTAGTTGCTAAGAGTAAGATGTGAATGTATTACGACAATCCATTCTCTTTACTTACAACACGAGTTTTAAAATGAATGTAATGACCTGGGAAGAACTGCCGGGAAAGATTAAATGATAAAAGTTCTTTAGTTCAATAATGTTAAAAATTTGAACATGTTGTTTATTATCGACGTATATAAAAAAGAAAACTAACTACTGCTGCTATATTTATATCCACCATTTTGAGAGTCAACTCGAGAAGAGTTTTCACTTCGATTCGGGAAGCCCGGGTGCGCACACGCGCATTAACACTGACTCTAGTCATCAACCCGAGTTTGACGAATCGAAGTAGGCCATGTAGTTTCCGTTTGTAGTAAGAAAACCAGGACGGGTTCAAACAGAAAGATTTTAAAAGCAGAGAAAACCGTGCACTAAGGCTATAATCAGCATGACTTTATCAGATGACAATACGAATACTAAAATTCCAGGCTAAACATAAGGCGTAGGTACTTTAATCACAGACCCGCGATGTCGCGGGTGTGTTCTAGTCTTACTTAAATTCTTCCACTGCGAATTCTTCTTATAGTCTTATAGAGTTTGTTAAAGGCCGAGTTTGCATATTAAATACAGGACATCTCGACACATTACAAACTTGGGAAATGTCAAACTCGGCACAGTACAAACTCGGCCTATTATTCGAAATAGTTCTAATTCATGTATTTTACATTTATCTAAAAAAAACAATATTATATTATGATTATTTTGAGAGAAACAAAATATTGATATTTTACCGTATGTGAGAACTGGAACATATATATATTTATATTGTGTCATCAGCGCGAGAGAACGTGACCAGTTTGTCATAGTGATAATAAGAATAACTATTACCTTAAATATGTCAGTTTCAACTGAATTAAATTTCCCATGTGATATTTATATTCATATTTAATCTTATATAAAACTGCACTAACTGCACTAAGTCGAATCTCTTACTTTTCAACAATCTCCTGGTCATCGTTTTCCTTTTGATAATGAGTGAAATCAAACGATGCGGTAAGGGCGATAGAGGAAGCACATTGACTGTTCTGTTTAGTGGCAATGGTTGCACTATACGCATTGGCACTCTTCGGACGTCGTTTCGGTGTGGTGTGCATATTGGTGACGCTCGAGTTACAGCTTGTGTTGAACTGTGTATGGCTGTATGTGTCTGCAGCACACCAGGTATTGATGGGCTCAGTAGTTTAGTTGCATGTGTTGCTCTATTGATGACCGTTCATGTGTTAAACTTGCAACGTTGAATGTCCTGTTAGGTACCAATGTTGACAGAATACGTGGTAAACTATTTCGGTGTGGTATATTAACTGGCGATGCTTGGGGAATAGCTTTTGTTGGATTTCTCATAACTGACTGTACCACTGTGAATGTTGAACTTAGTGTTCTTTCTACATAACTTGATCGTCTGCTATATATAATCAAGCAAATATTGAAGGTACCATATCCCGCTGTCCTTGCTGTTGGATTCCTCAGGAGCATTTTCTCAGGTCGTGTTCTTGCATAAACTGCAAGTAAATGCTATGTCAAGCTTTCCTCTCATTAGACGGCGAGTCTGTTTGAGTAATGCATGAAAATGTCACTGATCATAAATTTTGTATTACTTGGCGTTGGCAAAAGGGCGACAAATTTTGCCACTCTTTCTGAACTAGGTATAGATTACATCTGCATTTTGACATTGCAAAATCTATGATCAGATACTGACACAGGCTTGAAAATTTGGGTTCATCTTTTCTATTACTAAAGGAGGCATATTTAGAGTCAACATTACTACACGAGTCAAAAATTCCATCATGGTATGGATCCTTAAACTTCTTTCTAAAGAATCTAAAAGAGTTTGACAGTTTAGCTTCTGCAAGCAATTATAGCTTTAAATTTGTATACACAAACATTCTGTACCGTTTTATGAGGATCAGTGGAGACTCCAAATGCACAACTGTGCTGATGGAAAGCTCTGTAACTATAGCACTTTCAAGACAAATTTTGGTCTTGAAAGATATCTTATTTCATTGCGATCCCCTGAGTGGAGGAGAAATTTTACTCGATTGCGTATTTCGTCACATAGACTAAGAATTGAACAAGGTAGATATCAAGGTATTAGTTTGTCTCAGGTGCACCTCAAATGAAATTAATGATGAAAAACATTTTTTTATTTTCATGCACATCATCTTTAACTAGGAGAAACTGCATGTACTCCATGATTAACTCACTCTGTCCTAACCTTAAGCACTTGATTCCTAGCAAAAAACTAATTTGACTACTTAATGTAGAGAATGTTGATACATTAATATCTGTTCGTGATCTGATTGACGAAGGCAAAATATGGATCTAGCTTCTCTGCATCAGGCACGAGGATGGCATGGTGGTTACCTAGACTCACCAATAATTATAATGTACCTTCTTGTATTTATTCAAGTTATCATTGACAATCAGAATTATTCCCATACATATTATATATAAGTAATTTTCTATTTAGTACTATGTGCACTTGGGCATGTCATTTAGCATCGTCCCTTGGTGCCTCTTGCAGTCGGGTCACCTTACAATATCCATCAACCCCTCTGCATCAGGCACGAGGATGACATACCAGGTTTGTGCATCTCATGACTCATAATATCATAATCAAATTGTCTATTTACATACATGTATACCATGTGTCTCTATCTCCCACCTTGCCATGCAGTACCGTCCCTTGGTGGCTTTTGCACAGTTAAGTTACATATCCAATACATTGCCAATTTATTTAAAGAACTTTTTCGTGTTGGTGTGTGCCTGAGAAGGAGGTAAAACATTGTTAAAGGTATATATAAATATATTTATGTGTGTGTGTGTGTAGTTCATTCAGTGAGTTCATTCATGTTCAAACTGCTTTTTCTTTTCTTTGTATGTATACTTGATTATTGGGTTTTTTTTTGTTGTTTTTTTATGTCTTATTAATGTCTTATCGATTGTATTATGCTCTTTGTGAGCCCATTTAATGGAAATAAAACATCTTCTTCTATAAGTGCATTTTATATGTTGAAATTTCAAGACTGACAAACTAATAAAGTTCGCTTGTCATGTTTTGGAATTTTTGTCAGATTTTCGGAATCCTCTGGTTTTATCTATGTGAATGCCTTAACAAATTTTGCCCATTGACCTCCATTTTTCTTTTTATAAATCTTTTACATGTATAATTATAAGCCATCTGTAAAAGTCTTATAAAATCTTTGTTATTTTTTAATAGTTTTTGAGAACTTGAACTTTTCAATGGTAAGGCTATGAAAAGTCAAGAGAGAACATTTTACCGCCAAAATTTCAATGGCTAATATCTCGAAAACAAGCACATTGACCTATATATTTTTTCGCTCTTTTGGTTCCTTTAATTATCCCCTATCAATATATACTAGTTTTATGAAAAGCTTATTATTTTGAAATTGAGAAGCGAACTTCCTTAAGAATATAAGGGAGCTACCATTTGATTTTTATGGGGGGCTAGGATGAACAATTTTGTTCTGCTTTTTTTTTTAGTAGTCTCAGGTTTAAACCATCATCATTGATTCTACTGATTGAAAAATGTTTTATTGTTTTCTGTTTTCATATACATTTTGACATAATGAATTTTTTTTTACTGCATATTTTAACGAAGAAAAAGAAACCTTTTATTCTAATTCTTTTATTTTTTTTGGTTTTATTTTTGATTACCAAATTTTGCAGTTACTAAATTTAAAACATAATATTTTAATGAGAACTTTTGAGTTTTTTTTAATGTGTGTATATTCAGATTTTTTTTTATAATCATAATTTTTAAATATACAGATTTCATTTACCAGTAAGAAATTTATAGAATTTTCTAATTTGTGGGCGGGGATGTTATATTTATCTTTTTAATACTGGTTAATGAAATCATGGAAGCAATATTACTTCCATGATGAAATCATAACAGTGTGTAGTGGCTGGTCATTATCGCGTATGCGACTTTGTCACGCCTACAAAGCTGATGAATATGCATGACCATAGATAAGAACAGTACGTGTAGCCTAAAACTGGGAGTTGAGTTGTAGATTTGTAGCATAACTGTACATATGTAGTTTATAGAATAGAAATTTAGATCAGAAATATAGTTATTAATTATTATAAAGCCAAGCGAGTAGAAACACGGATCTATCAGTTGTTTGTCCTTGCCCGGGTCTTTTTTTTTTTGCCATGGTGTTCGTTGCCAGTTTATTTTCGACTTATGAGTTTGAATGTTCCTTTGGTATCTTTCGCCTCTCTGTAATAAGCTTTGAAGGTCTAATTTTGAAAAGATTGTTTCTTAATAAATTTTTAAATCCTAAATCCTAAATAAATTTATGTAATTTATGTATTATGAGAGAATTTGTCATTAGTGGGCCGATTTTTGAATGTGCCGAGATGTCTTGCTTGGCAGATTTCATAAAAATCTGCCGAGGTTTGCCGATTGAGATTTTGTGGGAAGGTCTATTAACAGGACAGATAAAACCAGGACAGTTATTTTCGATACGTTTTCATCTGTAACTTTTGTTTTAACCAACATATTGTTAAAATTTAAACTGTATAATAAAGAACAGGGTATATACTTACATTATTTGTAAAAAAAAATAAAATAAAAAATTAATAAGTTAAAAAAAATCTGCCAGGACAGTTAAATTTAAAAAAAGAAATGGCTGAAATTGCCGAGAAAAATTTACTTATGATTGAAATAATTTCTCCAAAACAACTGTCTGGCATAATATTTTTGTAAGATTATAAAGTTTAGGGAATACTCATTCTAAAAATCTAGAAATTAATATAATTTTCGATTTTTAAAGGTAAAAAAATCTGCCAGGACAGTAGCCTATTACGTTAGAAATTTTGTTGAAATCAGCTCAAAATCAAAATATAAAGTTAAATATCTTCTTCAAAATGAATGTCTGGTAAGCAAATTTTGGTTCATTGGAAAGTTTGAAATATAAGCTTTAAGAAAATATAAAAAAATATGGACTTTTATTTCATTAACACAAACAAAATCTGCCAGGACAGTAGCCTTTTGCGTCAGAAATTTTGTTGAAATTCGCTTAAAATCAATGGATAAATTTGAATATTTTGTTCAAAATGCATGTCTGGCAAGAAAATGTGTGTTCATTGGAAAGTTTGTATTATCAGCTTTATGAAAATATAAAATTTTATGAACTTTTATTTTGTAAACATAAAAAAAATCTGCCAGGACAGTAGCCAACTATCTTAAATGTTTGAATAAATGGCGGAAATCAACGTAATTTTTTAATTATAAATGAAATAGTATTTTTATTACCATTGTCTGGCATACTTTTTTGATATTATTAGGACCAAATCATTCAAAAAAATATAACTTTATTTTTTAATCATTTCTTAATGTAAAACAAATATGCTAGGACAGTACATTATTACATTGGAACTAGTGAAGAAATTTGTTTTAAATTTAAAATAATTCTCAAAGATTTTTTTGTTTTATTCTATTCAAAGTTTGCAGTTTAAGCTTTATCAGTGATATATATCATGAAAGTGAACATATTTAGAAAACATAATTATTGGTTTGTTCATTAAAAAAATATTTACTTATTTCGTTATGTTGATTAATTTGATCTCTTTTCAGTTAATTAAAGGTAGCAGACAGATCATTGAAAGGGCATGGGCTTATATTTTATTAATCAAAAACATTTCATACACATACATACATATATATATAAATAATCATACAATACAATAAAAAAAAAAAACACAAAAATTAAAAACTGTAAAATCTCCTTTTTATCGGAAGCAAACTCTTAACAAATTAAATTAAGTTTTGACAGTAATAAAAACTTCAAAGTCACTGATTGGTGTTTATTCACTAATTAGTAATGTGTTTAGAGCACAGGAATGTGTCACCTTCTTTTATCCCCGTACACGAAACGTGTTTCCAAATGTTGCATTTTTTAACTCCTTTCTGCCATTCACACCCTAACATGTCTTCTACTGAATCACATTTGCCACACTGACAGTTACATTCCACCACACTAGTTTTATATTTCGGTTTACCTTTCATGCCATTTTTTTTCTTTGGAAATGGAATAAATTCACCTTTTTCTAAACAAATCACAAGATGTTCTCTAAAAATTTCTGTGTCAAATTCTACATGTATTCCACCTGAAAAACTTGTAAAACAAAATTCTACAGCATTTGCAATTGCAAACAACCCACAATCTATGGAATTAGTTTGTTTCTGAACTTCTGGTATCTTGACCAACAGACTTTTTTTACCATGTGAATATATTTGTGAAAGTTGTATTTCTGAAGATGTTGTAAGTGTGTCGTACATGCTGTCCAATATATAAACTTCATTTGATTGTTTGGTTAAAGAAGTAACCCAGTGTGAATGTCCTGTATGATGAATTTGTACAGCCGGACCCTGTGTAGGTGTAAAACTTGTCTCAGAAAGCCATTTTTTTTTTTTTTGATTACAGAAAACTGGAGCATAACATGTGTTCTGGTAACCCTGGATTAATGGAAACTGTTTTAAAAGAATGTTTTGTGCAAAATTAACAATGTCGGAAGTTAAACACTTTCTATCTGAAATTATTTTTTTGTCTACTTGTGTAAGTGTACCTACCCATGGTTTTTTTTCCTGTTCAATTTCAATCGAAATCGGCGGAGTTGGAAATTCAAGTTTCATTTTTTTACTTGGTGGTGTCTCATCTAATGTAACTATGTTATCTTTTTTTTTCGTCTGGTGAGATATGACATGAATCATTGTCGTCCTCGTTAACGGTCTCCAAATTGAAGTGTAGTTTCTTTTTAGAATGTGGTGTTTTTGATTTTGTTTTTAATGCGGATTTTTGTAGTGATTTTTGTGTTGAATGTCCTTGTGACGGTGTTTTTGGTGTGTTGACTAAATAAGCCGAGTCTGGTGCTGGTTCTACAACAGGATCGTAATCGTTCTGTCTAGGTTGTTTTTTACCTGATTTTTTGTCAACTCTCTTTCTATTGTTTTTTGTTAAAAGTCTGAGATTTACTACTGTTCTTTTTTCAATGGGTTCTTGGCCAATGCTCATTTTTGCTGCAAGGATATGAAAGCATGTAGTAGTAGATGGACACTGACAACTTTCCTTCGGGAATAAGGTGACACAATACTTACCATTTCGACCTTGAACAATGAAAGCACCTTGAGATGGAACAAGTGTGATTAGGTTGTTGTCAACTATATACTTTGCCAAAGCGTGTTGACTACTTACAAAAGCAGGAAAGTTATTATATATTATAGCACTTTTTTTTTTTTTTTTTCTCTTCTCATATATTATAGCACTAGTCTAATAACTTTTAATAATGAACATCTGTATTAAAATGCAATCTATATATACCCAGAATGACACGTGCTCACATGTAATCACCGGATTAATTAAGTTGATTATCACACGCCTATACGTTCCAAGTTATCTTTGATTCTTGCGGTAAAATTGAGATCTAATCTAATTTTACTTTTAAATATACAATCAATTAGTGTTTCGATGTGTTTTGTTTTCAATTGTATTCCTAGTAAATAATTAGAACATAAAAAAACTAAATATCTTCTCATAGGTACTCATTACCACACGCTCGGTTTACGGTTGACATAACAGAATACACAAATACACAGATTCAATGACAGGTCTTAAGTTTGGCACGTGCCAACCAATTATTTAATTAGCTATAGGACGACTGTTGGGCAGATTTTTGAGGTTTTATTATCAAATGAATATTTTTTTTTCTTTTCACAAAATTTATTGTTCATACTTTACAACGAATAACAAAAATAATAATATTCTATTCAACTTTCTATTTCGATTTGAAAAAAATTTCCTCACAAGTTAAGACAAATAAGTTACTGTCCTGGCAGATTTTTATCTACTTTAAGAATGAAAATTGATCAATTTCTTTAGTTTTATATTATAATTGTGTCTGTTACTTTATGATAGTATCAATATAGTATGTCAGACAATCGAAATAAAGAAAATATTTCATTTATAGTTAGAAATTGCGTTGTGAATTTCCGCCATTTATACAGAAATTTAACGGAGTAGGCTACTGTCCTGGCAGATTTTTTTTGTGTTAATGAAATAAAAGTCCATATTTTTTTTTATTTTCTTTAAGCTTATACTTTAAACTTTCCAATGAACCAACATTTGCTTACCAGACATTCATTTTGAAGAAGATATTTAACTTTATATTACGATTTTGAGGTAATTTCAACAAAATTTCTAAAGTAATCGGCTACTGTCCTGGCAGATTTTTTTAACTTTAAAAATCGAAAATTATATTAAATTTTAGATCTTTAGAATGATTATTCCCTAAACTTTATAATCGTACAAAAATATTATGCCAGACAGTTGTTTTGGAGAAATTATTTCAATCATAAGTAAATTTTTCTCGGCAATTTCAGCCATTTTTTCTTAAAATTTAACTGTCCTGGCAGATTTTTTTTAACTTATTAATTTTTTATTTTTATTTTTTTTACAAATAATGTAAGTATATACCCTGTTCTTTATTATACAGTTTAAATTTCAACAATATGTTGAGTAAAACAAAAGTAACAGATGAAAACGTATCAAAAATAACTGTCCTGGTTTTATCTGTCCTGTTTTTAGACCTTCCCAGATTTTGTTTTTAGTGTCAACATCCGGCGGAAGAAGTTCAGATTTGTTTACAGCTGCTAGGCAATGAATGAAATTATATGCATTAGAAAATCCACATTTTTGTAGTGTAGCAGTATTGCACCATTATGCAGAATTGTTATAATGCTGGACGAATACCTAGAGAAAATGTGCATGATCAAAATGTCAAGGGTCAAGCAGAATCATTTAACTTTATCAAAGAATTAGCTGAGCAGAATAAACTCTTGAAACTAAGAATTGAAGAGCTAGAGGTTAATATTATCACAGCATCTTTAATTTCTAGTTTAAGAAAATCTTACTTATTCATATTTTCCCCCTGCTCTTCCAGACTACAGTTGCAGCACATGGGCTTGTTTAGCCATTGGCATTGACAGTAAAACCTCGTCTGACCCACTAAACAAGCCCCTGTGGTTGCAGGTTGTTCAAAAATTAATACAGTCAGGTGCTACCTAAACAGCTAAAGAGCTTCCTAATACCTGGAACGATTATATTGAGTATAATACAAATACAAATATTTTATTGGCACAAACTCATTAACAATAAATGGTTAAGACCTATTGCATACATATATATATATTAATTGACATGGTAGAATGAAAAGTTACATGATAACATATCATTATAGAATGAAAAGTTACATATTGGTGTTTCATATTAGTTCACTATTTCTTATATAATAGTCCCAGCTAATATACAAGATTCCAATTTCGATTTTTTGAATGAACTGCCCTGATTGACCTGGAGTCATTTGGGGGAAAACACCTCAAAGGACATTGTGACTTAAAGATATTTGCTTTGTGACATCAAATTCTTCCAGGAAAAAAGCACCCATTGGAAGATCATGTATACACTTTATCGCTATTTGTCAGCCACAATAGAAAATGTCTGACGCCATAAAGGAAAAGTGATTCTTGTATGGCATAAATAGTTCAAGTGTAACAGATTCCAGACATGTGAATCTTCCAGCGGGAGTCAAAATCTCCTGATTTTTTAACCCTCTTCAGCCCCTCCCTTTAATAATTCAATTCTTCCTTTTTTTTCAATATTTCAACCCAAAAAAATTTGTCAGTCTCTATTTTTTATTACCATCAATGTCAACATTGATTTCGTTTTTGTGTCACTGATGAAGGTAATTTTTACCTGTAAATCAAAGAACTTGTATAATTATATGGCTTCACATCACAGCTTGGGTGTCAAACATACTTGTAATTAATTAACAATTTTTATCTCGGGCTGACTGCCGTTATGTAATAAATGATTTGTGTATTTGAAAACAAAAGAAATTTCCGGCTACTTCCCTTGTTTTATCATGTTTTAAGTTACCCTCCTTAAAATAGTGTAAATTGATAAAATAATGTAAATGAAATATAAATTGAACAAAGAATCATATAAGAGGGTAAGAATGCCCTTTACCGTCAAGCATCAAACGTCCTTTTTGCGCTACCGTTGGCATCAAATGAGCCTAAATTTTTTTATTGTCATTCGTCAAATCTAATTTTGTAGCTACCGTTAGCGTCAAATGGAGTAAAATATTTATCGTTAACGTTATTTTAACAAATATTTTACTGTCATTCCTCAAGTGAGGTACCCCATTACTACCCTCACATAAGGATGGTAATTTAATGATTTTAAATGTCATAGGACAAATAAAAAAAATTATATATTTTGAAAATTATTTGAGAGATCTTTACTTCTTTTCAATGCTTAAATTGAAATTTATAACGTATGTATTGACTTATAGTAGAATTCGAACCAACCGTGCAAGACCGTCATGGGTAGTCAAGGTCGTTATAAACCGCCCAGCCCCTCATCGTATGATTATGCTAAATCTTGCAAAATCATCACTAGCAAGAGAAATGGAAAAACACTATATAAATAACACATAGCTGAGGGTGATAGAGCCGATTGCTACCCGGAGAAAATATTGTTAACCAAGGCAAAGCCTCGGTTGACAATGTTTTTTCAAGGGGTAACAATCGGCTCTATCACCCTCTCAGCAATGTGTTATTTAATTTATTATACTGAATGTTCTGTCATTTTTTCTTTTAGTACTTTACTATGACGTCATGAAAATAACAACGTTACAGTTATTAGAAAAACAGCAAAAGTGAAGCAAGATTTTTTTATTTTGACAGTCTATGAAAGAGTTCTGTGGCCAAAACCTAGAACATTAGCATTGTCTTTAGAATTATTGATGTAAATTCAATTCATTTTCCCTTAAAATTATCGATTTTTGATTGGTCTGCATGAGAGGGACATTCAAAAAATTGTCACCCGCTGAGCCATGGGATAGAGTAAATTATCTTCCTCGTATTAGCCAATCAAAATCTGGCATTCTGACGTGAAGTATAATAATATAAAATACATATACCATAATAGGAAATTGGGAACTGAGGAACACACTTACTAGATAGATGACAAAGATGAATAAAGGAAAAAATCACAACAAATAGTATATCTTAATGTTGACAAATATTTCACATGGTTACAATACAGATAGAATACATTAATAGTAAAACTGTTATCTTAAAAAAGGGGAAATATGTAGCTAAATTATCATCAAAATGAACGCTGAAAACATCGATAAAAAATCTCCAGTTATGAGGCCCAAACTCCAGCTGAAAATTTTTAAATCTCCAGTTGTGACTTGACAACTCTGTCACATGTATGAGATTCTCAAACAGTGATAAGATCTTTTTATGGTTCATATGGAACTACATCAAACTTTATAATGCTCCATATCTCTGATGTGTACTGCTTTATGATTATGTTAAATTGACTGGTCACCTCACTCACTCGTGTGATAATTGTTTTTCTGCTGAAAACTTTATAAAGAAAAAAATCATTAAAATCACCTCCTTTCCATCTACATGTGTTAGAAATGATTTTATATTAATTAATTCAAAATGAAACCATTCATAATACAATGTATTATGATATTTATTTGATTATAAATCAAATCTACAATAATTTAGTCAAAACTTTCAGTTATCTGCATGTATGCATGCCAGATTTGTTTTTTGTGATGTTTATGTAATTCACAGATTATTATTAGAATGATATTTTATTGTCAAACTTAATTTCAACATTAACACTGAGAGTAAATGACCACAAATAATGGAAGCAGACATATGTACATATTTAATGGTAACATGATGATTTTTATTTACTTCAAAGTTTAATTCAAACAAATGCAATGTAGACTGTATGCAATATCTCAAAAAGCAAAAAATAATGTTTCAATCTCTGCTTCTTTAATTAATTCATTCTTAGAAAACACTTTCATCAATTTAGACATCAAAAAACTTTTTTGATTTAAAATGTAAAAATCTTTCATTTGAACATTTTTCATGGTTGACTGACAATGTAAACAATGAACAATTGATGCATATAACCTCCTATAAAAATATGGAAGACTGTTTTTTGATATGATAAAAGTGCAGATCTATGAAATAAGTTAATACCCAAACCACTCAGTCAGATGGGAAGGGATAAGACCTCAAATTAAAATGTAAATTTTAAATATATCTCATATCCAATATTATATTCATCAATTTGTTGAGAGCTCTGACACACCCTTAAAATATTTAAATCGTGTAAAGAAGAAAAAATATTATGTTAAGACTACCATTTTCAACATTTTACACAGAACACATAACAGCTGATTCCTCCCAAATTGTTGATAATTTTCAATTTTGTAGGGGAGGGACTAAATCTATATTTAAAGTGCTATTTTAGGAACCTGGAATATTCATGAATATTCTTCCTAATATATGAATATCATGAAAGCAGGGCAGTATTGTCCTTAATATGTTAAGGATATAGATAGAACTCTGGCTTGACGATTGTTTCTTTGGTTATCGTTTAATTAGAATACAATGTATAAGACATTTTTCAACAGTGCCTATGCATTTATATGTATGTACTACTTTTTTTTTTGTAATTAGATAACCAGACAACAGATAATTACATCACAAATTCACATGATGTCTTGATTTCTATAGCTGGATATGATTGTTTTTTTTAACAAGTGGATTTTGCATGTTTGATTTATTGTCCTAAAATTTATGGGAAATATGTACCTTTTTTGGTGTAATCAGATAAGAATTTGCAGGATATTGTATGCTCCTTTAAATGTCTGGAAATGTTACTAAAGGGAGATAATCTTTTCCAGTACTTTTTTTGGAACAATTTTTTACAAGGTTGTCTCAAACAAATATTATATCCTGCAGCTGGTGATTTCCCCAAAAAGGCAAGAAAAAGATTATCTCCCTTTGGTAAGAACTTGTGAAAAAGTGTCCTATGCATTTGAGAACAAAACTTCTGGAGACATAAATTTGAAACAAAACATTTCAAAGCATGTAAATTTAAATTGGACACAAGTTGGCGTCAATTAGCTAAGTGTGCTTATATCATAACTAAAAAATGTCAAAAACAGTATTAAAGGAGTAGGGGCATTAAGGCCCTTATATGGTCAGAATATTAGTGCAAATTGAAAAGTTACCGTATATAAATAAGAAGATGTGGTATGAGTGCCAATGAGACAACTATCCATCCAAGTCACAATGTGTAAAAAGTAAACAATTATAGGTCAAAGTACGGCCTTCAACACGGAGCCTTGGCTCACACCGAACAGCAAGCTATAAAGGGCCCTAAAATGACGTGTAAAACAATTCAAACAGGAAAACCAACGGTCTAATCTATATAAAAAACGAGAAACACTTATGAACCACACCAACAAACGACAACCACTGAACAACAGGCTCCTGACTTAGGACAGGTGCAAAAAAATGCAATGGGTTTAAACGTTTTAACAGGCGCCAACCTTCACCCTAACCTGAAACAGTGGTGTAACATTACAACATAAAAAGACGCACAATAAAATATCAATTGAAATGGCTTAACTCGATCAAAAAGACATATTCACAAAAAAAAGTAAATATACACTGAACCAATGAGTTTGATCTATGACACAATATAAATAAAAAAGTTGTATCAATGTCAAAAAGACAACTTTAACCTAGGACAATATGGCGTTAAATAAAGTAACATACACAGGTAAATTTAAATATAATAATTTTGTTGTTAGGAGTACCGAAACATTTTTTACAAAATAAATTTATATTCTTAAATAACTACACTAAGGTATAATGGTTTTTCAGAAAATAAAAACAAATTTCACATTAAACAAGTAACCATGGCAACAAACCATGAAGAAATTTATATATTTGGTAACATTTCTTGATTTTCC